CCTCCCCGACAACTTGCTACACTCACAAGTTCCTCCCCGGACACTTGCTAACTGATAGGACCCTATCCTACCCAACCTAAATCCCACACTTAGGTTCACTCAGCACTCCCAGAATGCCTACACTCAGTTTCACAGTAGAAGCTCACTCACTGTGCACTCACAGCTACCACACGAATTTTAGAGAATTCAAACTCATCACACCCCAATACCCAAAACACTCAAACCTTTTTTCCCATTACAAGATCTCATTGAATAACTCTAAATACATATCTATGAATAAAGAGATAAAACTAATATGTTGGACACTCGAGATCTGTCTAAACTCACTGGACGTATTGAAACCAAAACCTGATAGGAACTTTGACTAGGAGGACTGACTTAGCTTCGTGGTGAAGAAGGGAACCATTAAGCACGACCACTACACTTCATCATCCTCAACTTTGAATGAATACATATGAGCATATTTATATTACACTCAAATTATTCATTTCATCTTGAAAAAGATAGGCTTTATCAACAGATAAGTTTAAAAGATATTTTCTGAAAATAAGTTTTTCGAAATTATATATTTTTGTTAAGAATAAAATATGTCAATAATAATAAGATATAATTAACATAAAACCAACTTATCTTTTTGCTTAAAATATTTTCTAAACAAACTTATCTTTTTCCAAAAGGGATTTATTAGAAAATAAATATCTTTATTCGGTAAAACCAAATTCCTATACTATAAGATATGCACGTATTAGGTAAATATATATATCATTAAAACCGACTTTTAAAGACGTGCATACTTAAGTTCCTATTAGGTTTGGAACTCTGACAGTCTCTAAAGTTCACCTTGGTTACATAGAATTTTTCCAGACCGACTTCTATGTCCAACATACTTACATGAACCCTAGAGTAATATACTTCAATTTCTCCGTCTTCATGTTGCTTCTTTGAAACTCGTGTTCTAGAATCTTGTAGTCTTGACGTATTCTGGATCTTGGGGCAACGTTCCACTTCTAGAACTACAGACCAAGTCATTACAACCTGTTGTCATTCATCTCTAGCATTACACTGGAACTTTGCAGACCAAGTCCTGTTGGAACTTGCTGTCATGCTTCTGTTAGGAAGCACCTTGTGTGTACCTGTTAGGGAACACCTCATGTACCTGTTAGGGAACATGCTCCGGCTCTCGTAGGAAAGCCTGTCGAAGGTTACTTTTGGACCTCGTTGGAGGTAAGACCGTCAGGTTCCTTCGTGGTTTGTTCTCGCGGGAGAACCTGCTTTAAGTTCATTCATTCTCTCTTGTTCCTCTTGAAATCTTCTATGTTCTAACCCATCGACTTCAATTAAGTCAGTTCATGTCTTCACATAAACACTTAAGAGAACATTAGATTGAAGTTCGTTTGTCATAAACAAACTTCAAGTGAGAGAACTAACTAAACTTAAAGCCACATATTTTTGTATTTTTATATTTATAAAAACAATAAATAAAACCAAACTAAACTAGAGCTAACCCAAAAGCAAACTAGAAAACTAAACTAAATTAAACGACTCCTACACAGACATGACCCATGTATGCATAAGACACTTACCTCATGAAGCTAACATATGCAAACACCTATTTACATAGTTACCTTCATGGTTCCTTTGCCATCATCATGCTTATTAACCATCACTCATCATTGCTCTTGTTCCTTCTATTGCTTATCATATATTGCTCAGGTTCCTTATATATATACTTGTCGTTGCTCAGGTTCCTTGTACCCTGTTCGGAGCATAACTTGTTCTTTCTATGCACAACTCAACAAACACGTTAGATAGATAATCATCATTAGTTTACAATCATCAAAACCTAATTACTCAACATCTATTTCAATATAGTATGGTATATCAAGGGAAAGATTCCTTAGTGATAAACAACTATCTCGTTTCTTCAAAGCCATTACCACTTCAAAGGACAAGAATAGCAAGGTACGAATAATTTGAATTACACTTTAATTCAACTTTAATCTTACTTAGCTATAAACCTATTATGTGAAAGTCTCTTTAATTTTTGTGTACTGTGTTTTTTCTTATAGGATTTTGTCACCACAATACAAGCTTATGACTACCCTATTGTAGGCTTCCAGTGGAATCCTTAGGTTACATGGTTACTCCCTCAATTGTGTTTTTTTTTTCTTTTCCTTTCCAACTTACTCCCTCAATTGAGTTAGACACTTTAACGATACATATTCCCTTATCTTCAAAGTATCTTCAGTGGAGATTGAACCTCTGACCTCAATGTTAGAAAGTTCTTTTTCTTATCACTAGGCTAGCATTCTATTGGTAAATATTACATATTTGTATATGTAAAAGCCCTTTTACTACTTGGTATAGTACTCAGTAAGATTAGCGATGTAAGCATAATTTAATTAATTTGTGGTTGGATGCAGAAAAATGCATTTGAATGGGGGTCACCCAAAATTCCACACTCTTTGTATGCCATTCAAGTAACCCAATATGTTGCAAACTACCTTATTAGGTACATATTTAATTTTAAAATGAACAACTGAACTTTCTCAAGAGCTTATATATACATGCTAATTAATTTTCTAAGTTTATTTTTGCATGTTTTTATTAGTGAGGCTAGGAAGTCTCGCAATTAATGAGCCACCTGCTGAACAAATCCTTGACAATCTCATCTACAAATACAACACTTACTACTCCATAGCTAACGGGTTAGTTACAACATTCATTGTGTTGTTTCAATCCACCACGAAAGATGTATGATCAGTCCATACGTATATACATCAGTTGATAATATTTTTGAAACTGTGACCGGTCTTGTGATAGCCAGTCGCAGCAGGCACCTAATGGTTACAACTTACAAGTGGTTGCACGTTTGAATTTCACGACAAACAATTTAATTAGCGTGATAGTCATTTGGTAAACTCAAACTGTTGCTAATACCATATGTTTTGAAAATGTGCAGGAAAGGATTTGATGAGACGTACTATTTTGTTGCGAACGAATCAATGACTTCACCAATTGAAGCTTTGGCCGAAGAGTAATATTGCAGCTTCAATTTTAATGTGAATGTAATGTATTATGTATAGCCTTTTTAGCTTGCCACACATAAAACTCTTCACTTTTGTTTAGTAGAATTATCTAAAAAAGGGGTTACACACCCAAATTTCAATCAACCATCCTTATTTTCTCCTCTTTTGTTAGGGAAATTTGACAACTACTACCTAAAAAAGGGATTGGCATTTATAACCCATAAATAAAAAGTTGTTAATACTATCTTAAAAAGTGATTAATTTGTATGATTACTACCTCTACCAATTTTCCGTTGGATTAGCTCAATTATGACGTCACTTATCAACTTAAATATAATTAACATTAAAGCTAGTAAGGGAAACTATTGATAATTAATTGAAATGGGATAAAAATGACATGAATTACATTTCTCTTCTACTAAGTGACATTATAAATTTCATTTTTTGACCAATAAGGTGATTAATAGGTCACAAAGATGGGATTAGAATGATCCTTTAAAAAAAAAAAAATGGGATTAGAATAACATAAACTACATTTAAGGACACTACCAGTTAGTTGGTAAATGTTTGGTATTTCCAAAGGTTGAGAATTCCGTCCTTAACATATTTTAGCAAAGGAAATATTTGTCAACTAAGTGAAATCGTGTTTGTTCCTGTTAAGGAGATAAAGTTTTGCGCATATATGATACTTTCTCTGTTCTTTTTTACTTGTCTTGTTTCTTTTATCACGCTTGCCAATACAAAACTTTAACAATCAATAACTTCATTTCTCCATAAATAAATTATAAAAGTTATACATTATGATTGTATTTATTGAGACGAATTCAAAAGGATCCCACATAAATATGTTTTTCTTTACATATTATTCACAAAAGACGGTCAAAGGAGGGGTGGTGAATAGTGTAAAAGTAAAAGCGAGTCAAGTAAAAAAGAACGGTAAAAGTATATATTAGGATATTTTTCTGGTTCTCTTTTAAGAAACAGAATAATATAGAAGATGTTCTCCTCCACGCGAGGTACACATTAAGGAAAAGATCTATAAGAGGATAATTAAACCAAGATAATGGAAATTTGAAACTAAAAACTCATATAAAATCGCAAGAAATGAATAGAGAGAATGAGCAAAACCAAGGTTGAAGATGAAGATTCCAGACATTTAGATAAAGTGAGAAATACAACTATTGAATTAATAATGTCAATTGTAGAAGGATCAGTGAACGAAGACCACGCATTAAAACCAAGGGAGTTGTCTGATAAGTATAACATTTTGGAACACCTATGAAATATGAACATGTAATTAGGGGACGAAGGGATGTACTTTTTTGTTGTAATTTTTTCTCATTTCCTTATTCTCCTCCTTCATCTACTTCCTTTGATCCCAACCCACGATCCAATCTATCTTCTCCCTTTTTCTTTCTCTTCCTCTTCCCTCCATTTTCATTTTAACTTCCGATACTCCATTGAACCTGATCGAGCTTTCCTCTCATGAATAACCATTTCCACCACCATACCCTAAGAAGGTAGGGGAATATCATCCTCCATTAAAATTCCTTGCCATGTTTGAAGTTCTTCGTTTCTCCATTGAAGTTCTACTTTTGCTTGAATTCATTGATTTCTTAGACAAAATTACAATATTAACCCATAAGATAAGATCCTTAATCCTCAAGGATATAAAGGAGCAACATCACTACCATACCTCATCAACCTCAAAGGTCGATCTTACATGATCTAAGTGCTCTTTTTTTTTTTTTTTTCATCAAATGGGAAGAACCCGAAACAAACTTCAACCCTCATGATTTTCTTGACAGGGTAGGCAGAGAGTAGAGGGGAGGATAAAGGAATCACTATCCCCAAACACCCTCACTTTATAGAATTCAAACACCAAATTACTACAACCATATCAACTGAACCAACACTTTGTTATTTGCACATTTAGTGCCAAGCCATACCAACTAATGCTGCTCATCAGAGTGTATCAGAGGGGCGGAGCACTCCAATAAATAAATGTATTGATAATAGCCCAGTGTTCTCATATTACGCCAATTATTTAATAATTTGCCACTTTAGAGTTTAGACAAATCACGTAAATATGCAAAGTCAGACAATTCAAGCTTAGCTAAATATAATAGACATACTTTGCATTAGGTAATACTGCTAAACTTTACATAATTCCTGCATTCTAAACTCAGAGGCCCTGTACATATTAGGCCTTGTCTAGTACCAAAAAGGGGTTAATATCATTGTAGTTCCAAACGTAAAGGTATCAGAATCAGCATTTGCACTCTCCAGTTGTGGGTTATATGTATCAAAATCCTTTTACGTTTGACATGAATAAATCGGTTGTTGATCATCATACATCAGCAGGCAAGTTCAAATCAAAAAATCTGTCTTCAAAATCTGCAGTAGCATGTTTGCTGGAGGAGCATCCACTCTCAACTTGATTCAAACTGAAACTAGAAGATTCTGCCCTAGCACGTTTTCTTGAAGAGCATCCACTCTCAGTTTGATTCAGAACCAAGTCTGTAGATGACTCATCCGACCCCTTCACTCCTATATGTATAAGAACCAAGCCCGTATGTATCAGTAGCTTTCGAAAGACCAATTGGCGTTATTCTACCTTCAAACTTTCTTCACTAAATTAACTGAAAGCCAAAAGAGGTTATAACTTGATCTACTAACCAGGTGAATTAAGCAAAAGTAAAGGTTAACTAAATTAAAGTCAAGAAAGAGGTTCAGCAGACGTGTTTTGGCTTCAAGTAAATTTGTCTTAACTCCCAAACAAAACTTATATATTCAGAATAATTAAAGTAAAAAATCAACACAGCCTTTTAACTGTCTTTTACTGTGTCCTTTCAAAGGATAGATGAGCATCTAACCTTTATATACAGAAGAATTTCTATGTATTCTGTAACGGTTTACCAATCATAATCACAGGAGATCTGCTACAAAAAAATTATATGAAGATGACAAGAAAGAAAGAGATAAGTTAACCCAACAAAGATATATCAAAGTGGGTATCACCCAAAAAAAAATTAAAAAAAATAAAAAAATCAAATCCAATGAAATGTTATGTTAAACTATATTTCATCAGATAAACTGTTCTTTCAACTAAAATCACTCACTAAATGCACTTTATCTTTTTTTAGGTTACTAGATTGAAAAACTTTAGTACCAAAAGTTTTTTTAAACTACAACTAACTTGAGTTACTGGTTTATTCTTTGTTGATGACCCAAATCTTCAGGTCAGGGATAAGGGGGATGGCACACTATTAACCGGCCTAATCATCAAAAACGGCCAAGAAGAGGTAACATTTAAGTCTAATTCTATAACAAAACCAACTACCTTAAATCTAAAAGTTAAAAGTCCTTACCATTTGAGCTGGAATTTCTCTCCCTAGTATAACTATGGTTCCTCCAATCAGTTATTTCAGATGCTTTCTCCAACCCCTTTGACCTATACGGAGCAATTATGTGTATTGTGTGCTGAAGAGATCCTAACAGATCACCTTCAATGCATTCATACCTGCATAAAGTACACATTAAGCAAGTAAATAAAGTGTCCAAGAGATATTTCAACCAAACTAATACCATAAACATATTTTTATACACTAGGAAAAGAATGGACAACAAAATATGATATGCATCTGCCAGCACTATACAAGATGGAAGAATTAGTTGTTGAACCCACATTTTCCTGCATAGATTGTCAACAATGGTCATCATCGTTATTATCCGCATTCTTGTTTCTAAAACTTTGTCATCGTCAAGCGTATGAAATGGCTCCTCCAGACACATTGAAAGTTTCTCAATATTGGCCTCCAATTGTTGTTGCTGGTCTTCAAACAAGTTCTTTTTTATTTCTCTATCCTCCTTGGTCATTTCATTCCTAAACAGCTCATTACCAAACATGTAATAAGCAAATGGGTATGAATATGACAAGATACGTCTGGACCTAAACAATCTGTAAAGTCCATTTGTCACCCAGCTGAAGTCCTTGGAGGTTGTATCCCTGTCTTCCAAACTTGATATCTTCTCCTTAATAGTTTCCTCCAGTTTAGCTTCGAGCTTATATGAATCTGTGTGAGCTTTATACCGATTATGATAGTGAATATAACGCCACCATTCCAACTTTGCATGCTTGGCTTTCTTTAGATCATCTTCTTTGAATCTCCCACAACTGTGACCAGCAATAGTAGACCACGTATGCTCTCTACCTGTAGCTCCACCACAAAGCCAGCTGCATCCAAAGACCAATAAAAAATTAATTCACAAACAAGTACTCTAGGAGAAATCAAAATTCCAGTTACAGTCAAAACCAGCATAATCAGCAGAGTTCCAATTTACGTCAACTTTTTGTATGACTCCAAGAACTTTAAAAGATGAAGGAGCTTGTAATGTGATTATGTGAAAAGGTTAACAGAAAATGAAAAGTAAATGAGGTTAAACAAGTAGCTTCAAAACCACAAAATATGATATCAATTCAGCCATTTAAGTTTCTATTGAATATGGAGTAACCAATGTGTCAACTCTGTCACGCAAAAAAGCAATTTAACACCAAAAATATCTAAAACTTACACATTGAAAGTAAAAAAAAAAAAAAAGCATGCGATTGCTACTAACCAGACACAAGATGTAGTCATATAGCTAGGATTAGAAATTAAGAAGACTTTAATCACACAAAAATATTGAAACAGAAAAGGTACAAACCTTGTATGTTTGAATATGCTCATAATGTGTATGTATACGCACCGAAACACACACATATGATGCATGCATACACACCAAAACACATAAATGATGCATGCATACAAATTAATACACACCAAGCTAAGCTTGACCTAGTGGAAATTGGAAAGGAGAGCATCTTCCAATCATGAGGTGGGAGGTTCATTTCCCACTAGGGAAAATTTGAGGAGTGGATTTCCTTACCTATCCCACACTTTCCCATATTGTCTAGCACGCTTACACAGGCCAAGTTGACTGAGCGGTTCCAGCCCGATAGGGCCCATAATCTTATAAAAAGAAAAAGACAAAAAGAATACAAATACACAGCTAGACACAGTTTTTAGTTACGACTTACAATCACCCGATGGTCTCTCCATAAACCATCAAATCTAGTTGAATCTTGGTCAAATGGATATATAGGTAAATACAGTAATGACTCGACATTTAAATGACAGCATGACAGAATTTAAAGCTACTGATAAAGATGATGTTTATTAATCTTTCTTTATGAAAGAAGCAAAACAACTAGATTTCATCAGGTGTTGATCATAAACAATCACTGCAATGGCAGAAAGAGCCTGACAGAAGTGCTTACCAGAATGCTTGGCCACAAACGCATACAACAAGGTTGCATCCTCCATTTTTTTCCACAGGTTTGTGACATTTAGGACAAGGCTTTGTGTGGCTTGTGATCCAATTAACAGTCTCTGATTCATCTTGACACTTCTTCATCCAAAGCTCCCACATCAGACAGGAGCAAGGAGAGTGTGCTTCAGATGAACAGCCAAAGCAGAATTGATGACCACATGCACATTCAACCTCAAAATAATCATCCTCCTCAACACGTATAGCATTTCCACAATGGGGAACACTTGGGCACCACTTAACCCTTTTATTATCCTCTATGTAGGACTCCAGAAGAAAGCGATCAAACTTTTCAGCCGCCGCAGAATCTCTCTTACTAACCAAATTTCTTATTTTCCCGTCATCACAAATCGCATTGCACTTATGTGCCATGCATCTAACCCGTCTACTCTCACCTTCATTTATCCTCACTATAAAATGTTCTGTCCAGCCTAGTTATCAGAAAATAGCAGAAAGGTACAAATTATGTTAGTTGGTGAAAGAAGACATAAGAAAGAACAAGCTTCAATGTGCAAAATTTTACAAAATAAATTACAGAAAAGCTACAGCCTTTAAAGGATCAAGAAGATATGCAGCCGGAAACTTAGCCAACTCACCAATCTTCTATAATTCAAGAGTTGAATTACAAGTGAACAATGACATTGCACCAACTCGCTATTTGCTCATCGAAACGAGGAGGGGGGGGGGGCAGATCAACTTAGCAAAAGTGCAGCAGATAGAAGGCCAATTATAACTATAAACTAAGGGGCACAGTCAAACCCCCCCCCCCCCCTCCTTTATTGAATTATCCCCACCTCTAACTATTTTAATCTTAGTACCCCAAGAAAAAACTTGGTTTTTTTCAACAATAACCACAACCATTTCCCCACCTTAGGCCATGTTCTCTTCACCTTATTACTTATGAACTAATACCAATTTTACTGAAGTAAAACTTAGGAAAAATGCAGCAGATAGAAGGCCAATTATCACTATAAACTAAGGGGCACGGGCAAACACCCCCCCCCTCTTCTTTATTGAATTATCCCCTCTAACTATTTTTATCTTAGTACCCCAAGAAAAAACTTGGTTTTTTTCAACAATAACCACAACCATTTCCCCACCTTAGGCCATGTTCTCTTCACCTTATTATTGATGAACTGAAACCAATTTTACTGAACTAAAACTTAGCAAAAATGCAGTAGATAGAAGGCCAATTATCACTATAAACTAAGGGGCACGGGCAACCCCACCCCCCCCCCCCCTCTTCTTTCTTCTTTATTGAATTATCCCCACCTCTATCTATTTTTATCTTAGTACCCCAAGAAAAAACTTGGTTTTTTTCAACAATACCCACAACCATTTCCCCACCTTAGGCCATGTTCTCTTCACCTTATTATTGATGAACGGAAACCAATTTTACTGAACTAACATTGTTTTAACTATCATTATATAATTTTTACTGAAAATTACTTATTTTAACTGATTAAAACTTATTTTTACTGAATCTTTATTATATTTGTTCTTTTGATTTACTAATTTTTACTGATTAAAACTTATTTATACTGAACTAAAATTACTTTAGCTTAAATGAAAACAATTTTACTGAAAATCTGAATATTATTTGAATAAGGTGAAGTAAACAAGGCCTTAGTTCAGTGAACTATATTCACAAGTTAGGAACTCTAATACAAGCAAAATTTCCTTTTAATTTATCCGAAACTCCGAAAGCCTTAGGTGAAAATGGAGCAAGAGATGAATAAAGGCCATTAACTCATCCTAATAAAGCACTGACTAGCACATAAAATAGCCATATATTGACATGTTGCTGTATCTGCGTACTCTATAGTTCAAATCTGGATAAGCTCTGATATGTTTGGTTAAATAGGATATCACATTTACAGCACAGCAAATGCAATGTTATAATAGCATATTCACATTCCAATAAAACGTGAGGTGATGATCATAGAGAGGAAGTAGAGTAGTAGACTTAAAGTTGACCACCTACCCCACCCACAACTATCACACAAAACTTACACAAAGTACGTGTTCAACTTTCTTGTATATCTCCTTTATTTCGCAATTATTTTCCTATTATAATTATTTTGAATTATTAACTATAATAAAATGAGCTATTAGTGTTTTTTTTTCTCTCTCCCTTCTACTCGCTATCTCCCTTTATCTCACTCACGGTGGTGGTTAATTTGCTTCAGGTTTCGCTAGTTTAAAGGAGTATCAATGATTGTTGTATTAAAATTATAAAAAAATTATTGACTATAATAAATGAGCTCTTTTCTCTCTTCTACCTTTACTACTCCATCACCTTTATAGCTGGTGGTGGTTAAATAGCACAATTTGCTTCATGCTTGGTAGCTTAAAGGAGCTGGGTAGTGGAAGGCTTCAAGGGCTGTTATATATTGGTGGTTAGTGAAGAGGGTTAACTGGAGTTATTTTGTTGAGCGCCGCGGTGGAAGGGGACTGGTTGTGTACCCAAACCATCTGAAAATCTGAAAGAGTGGTCAGAAATATATATTGGATGGGTAACCGCATCAAAAATTAAGCAAACTAGTTATCATTTTAAAAGTTTTGGGTACCCAAAAATCATTTTTCTTTTTTTCTCAAAAGCCTAAACCCCTAAATTGTTAATAATTACATAAAATTTAGGTATCAGGTTTCTGACACCAAATTCAAATATTCTAGTACATGTATAAGTATTGAATGTCAGTTTAATGGTTATCAAATATTTGATTGATAACATCATCGATTCAGGTACCCAACACATGCGCAACTCTATTGTATGTGTTATAAGACTTATAAGAGGGGAAGTCAAAAGGTATTGTGTTGATGGAGGTGATGGAATGAACTCATAGTAGTGAGGTTATTAAGGAGTTGGTTAGGTGGTCACGGTATAAGAAGAGTTTGGTTTAATCATGATAGAATAATTTGGGGTGTTCTTAGTCAATGGGAAGGGGAAATGAAAAAATAGTTTCAGACATCATAAATAAAAAGTCACTCAACTCTGTCACCAAATAAAAGCTCTATTCCACCCAAAAACTTTGTCAATAAATACAAATTTCATTTTACTTTTATCTATTTCTTTATTTGGTTATAATCAACCAACCCCTCTATCTTTTCATCTTGTTTATCCACTATTAATGAACCAAAGCCCAATATTTTTTTTATATTCATCTTTAATCAAACAAACCCCACAATCTTAGTGCAAAAGGCAAGGAATTTGATTTGGGGACGAAAGGGGTATAACAGCTTCTTAATTACCTTCACCTCCCCCATAAACACCGCAGCAAACACTTTCTAATTTCTACACACAAAAGGGAACCATACAGAAGTTAACTCGATTTCAGTTTGGGCATCATTGGAAAAGTTTAACGTACTCAAGCCACTATTAACCCATCTAAAAAGTAAACACATCACTGCATAATAACTCCCATTACAGAATAATTTTGGTGGGTGCTTTAACAAGTAGCTACAAACCTGACTAGACCCAAGGTGGTCATCTACATTGCTGGCCATTAGCCAGATGCAACCAGCACAGTTATTTAGGGCCCCAAACTTGTAAAGAGCACATATTGTTCACTAATGTTTTCTTGGGGTAATCAGATGAACTTTGAGATATTCAAGCAATCAATGTAGAAAAGCCAATTCCAATCCTTTGCCTTCGACAATTCATCTCTTTGGCTCATCCCAACTCCCAGTTCCAATTAATTATCTTCTCTCTCTCTCTCTCCTCCCAACAAACAACATCAACTCCCTAATGTTTACACAACAAGTCAGCAATTACTAATCACCAATGAGCAAGTACTCATCTTGATCTTCAATCTTTAACATACATGAACAGTCTTTCCCTTAATTTATATTACAGCTGTTTGGCAAAAGAAAATTCTACTCTCAACACTAAAGTAAATATATTTAATGTTAACTCATTGTTACCCCAATAATATCCCCAAACCAATATAAAACAGCTAAATATCTCCTCCCTAACAAATCCCACCAAGTCTAAGCATTTCTATATACTACATCTTAAGTTGTTAGCTCATGATCTACTGTTTGTCATTAAATCAAATTCTAGCAGTCAGTGTGCCTTGTGAGTAGTCACAGCGCGAGTGAGTGGTGCAATGGGCTGAGGTTACAATGGGGATTTTTCTGTTTGAAGCAGTTAGGCACAGTTGTTTCAGTCCAATTTTCCATTTCCATTGTAACTAAGTTGCTGAAGAAAGCCGTATATAAGGATTTACAGTGTGTTTAGATAAAGAAAGGGGAAGCAAAAGAAGAAGAGGGAGGGAAGGGGAGGAAAGGAAAAGGGAAGAGAGGGAAAATTGATGAGTTTTCCTTCCAAACCTCTCCATTGTTGGAGAGATCAATTTCTTACAATTTAATCCCTCCATTTCTCTCCCATCCACCTCCCTTTCTTCCTCATTTGTTATCCAAATGAAAGATATCCCTCCATTTCCTTTCCTTTTCCTCCACATTTTCAATCCAAACACATAGTTAATTTATTATTTGGTTTCAAAGAATCCTATAAAGGTGATCATCAATGATATAAAGTAAATATTAGTACTTTGAAGCAGTGATACCAGATTCACCAATCACCCCTCAAAAGCTAACCGAAAAAAGCAAATTATAATATAAAAGTAGTAATTTTTGGTTCAATTCAACAAATTAGGTAGTGAATTGTGAACCCGTAACCAAATCTCATACTAGCAAATCTGGTAACTATGCTTTGGACAAGTTTATTCATTCCAAAATTAATTAATTTTACGAATTCCTAATAATTTAAGTAAAAACTTACAATTAACACACGGCTTCCAAATGTTTGAGACAGGCTGGTCATCCATGGGGATAACTTATTACGAAGTAAAAAAAAAAAAAAGAAATACATCAAGAGTCACTGAGTTTAGACAGCATTATCATTATTACCATATGACTATGTCTAACAATGACCAGACTTAGAACAATATCCAACAAATAGATTGGAAAAAGGCAATACAAACATATCTATCACTATCAACAGCTATCTCCAACAGCAAAAAATGGATTTTCCTTACTGCACTTCAAAGTATTTTACCACTATGTTGTTTAATGGCTATACCATTTTTATATTTTACCACTCAGAGAATTACGAGAAGCTGAAGTTTAAAATTATGCAAGAGCACATCAAGAGAAATTTCCTGAAGGCAACTTTGAAGCCAAAATAAGAAAATAAAAGATAAAAGTTGAAACAAATATATAACCACAGTCCATAGCTAGTAAATAGAAGTGAGAAGAGAAGATTGGTGATAACGAAGACTAGAATCCTAAAAGACAAAGGGAGCTAACTTTTAATTAGGAACATACAAAAAAAAAAGTCTATGACTCTTTTCACCTCTTGCATTTTTACAATATGAGATCGTTTATCATCTACATTGAATATCTAGAGTGATATTTACTTTATCATAATACGTAGTATGAAATGCTTAACACCTAAAAGTCACATTTTGTTGCTATTAGGACCTGAATAAAAAATTACAATATAAGCTCTACATACTTTCATTAGCAAAGAGACTTACAATCATTGCAGAAGTAGTGGCCACAATCCATTGTTGTAAACTTATTGGCAGGATGTTCTTCCATACAAATGTCACAATCAAGAAAAGAACATGAAGAAGAAGAAGGAATATTAGCATGTTCTGTTACTCTGACACCAGCTTCCACATACAATTGTTCGTTTCCTTTTTCCACGAGCACTGCCAATATTTTTTCCACATCCCAACGATAATGTATAAGAAGGGTTCTTGCATGATGCTCCTTCAACGACAACAGATCCATTATTCTATGCAAGTCTTCAGTCTGCAACAAACAGTACCAGATTCAAAATCTTCAATTTTCAAGCTAAAACAAATGTAAACCATAAACACATTTCAACATATAAAACTACATAGAGAAAGAGCTAAAGGGATAAATTCTAACCTGCGCTACTCGAAGTGAATCCCTTCTGATCACCTACAAAATGTCAAAGCAACAAAAAGAGATCAGTTAAAACAAAATTTAAGCTATTATACAAACCACATTCATTTTTTACCTTTTTTTACATTTAATGTTTGGATTGATAGGTATCTTTACTCAAAGGTAAAAAAGTAACTTAAATGGAGAAATAAGCAAAGGCTTATACATAAACTAAAAACCAAAGAACACTTTAACACAAGAACGCTATAAAGTGCAACATTCACATTCACAAAATTATGAAACAGATTCAAAATTCACAGTTTTATGACAAAATCAAAGATCTACTCTGTAAAAGAGTAATGCACCAGAAATTGAGATCAAGTCAAATTCGAAGCTAAAAAAAAAGTACAAATTTTTTCCATAAAATGACTAATAACAACTACCAATCATATCCAACACTCTTTATAATTTTAAATGGTTCTTTTTTTTTTCCTTTTCCCACTTTGGCATATAACTTGAATTGAGATCAAAGAAACTAAACCCAAAACCAGTAATTAAATTCCAGCCACAACAATTATTCAAATTGAGACGAACTAAACAAAAGTTGACACTTAAAAAAAATAAAAAATAAAAAATAAAAAATAAAAAAAAAAAAAAGAGAGAGAGAGAGAGAGAACAGAAATAGATTAAAAGAACACCATTGATGAGAATTTAGAGCAAAAATTTAAAGTAAAATTAAAGCATACATTATCTCAAAAGGAGCAGCATTCACAATTAGGTTGGTGCAAAAAATAGAAGTAAAATTAAAAAAAGAAAAATAAAACAAACAAACTCAGAAATTAAGATCAATACCATTCGAATTCAAGCTAATCAAAATCAAAATTTACTTCCATAATTATACCGGCAACACTCATCAACCACATTAAAATTTATCAGCAAAAAATTCACTTAAAAATTAAATTAAACTAAAGAAACAAAAAAAATCTCCAAATAAAAAAACAAACCCTAATTCAAGAAATTAGACAAAAAAAATTAAAATTGAGAATAGCAAAAAATTAAAATAAAATTAAAAAGAAACCTTGATTGATGAAGCAGGGCGATTAGTGAGGGAAACATCATTATTAGCATCTTCAATTAAATTCAAAGAATCGCGATCATCATCTTCTTCATCAGCATCATCATAATAAAACTCATTATCACTATCAGCATAATCCTCCATTAAATTACCGCCAAATTAAACGCACAAAATCTGCAAATTAACAGAATTAAACTCCAGAATTTGAAATTGCTGATCAAATTCTGAAATAATTTAGGAAATTTAAGGAGAATTAAGGGTTTTACAACGGCGATCGACTGAAAAGGAGAGCTTGCTGTGAAAGCCAAAACCCCAAGAGAGAGAAAGTAGAGAGAGAGTGTGAAGGTGGGAGAATTTTAGGCTTGTTCAAGTATACATCAAAAAATAAATAAATAAAAAAAAAATAAAAAGCTGTTTTATTGGTTTGTATTTGTATTTATCTATTAATTTTTATAATTTAATGAGTTAAAAAGAAATCAGTTCAAAGAAGGAAGGAACAGATTTCAGAATTACACTGGTTTGGCGTCAATGAGTCAACTTTGGGTATATAGAGTCTGATTTTTTTTTTTTTAATTTATTTTCAGGTGAAATTTTTTTTTATGTGAAAAACTTTACCAATTGAACTAAATAAACCTGTAAAGAGGTAGAGATAGGGATTGAAGGAATAGTGAAGTAGACTATGGTTTTTCTTTTTTTAAAAAAAAAATCCTAAACGACATTATATTTCATCAATTAAAGTCATACGGCATTTATAATTGACAATTAATTTAACAATATAAAAAAAAGATTTAACAAAATCAAATAATTATTAACTGGGAAAGACTAAGAATCTAAATAAATAGATAACAATTCGGCACATTCACGATTCGTTGTCTCATACAACTTTTGAGTGGATCCGTCACTGCATCATAATTTTGTGAGAAAGAAAATCCTTGAGCTAATTTTTTAACCCAAATCCGAGCAATAATCAATCTTAGCCCCGCACAACTAGAGCCCAATTTAAGCGCAAATAAAACCTTGTATTTCAAAGGAGTTCGAAAAACCTTGCCTTTCGAAAGAGATTGAAAGAACCTTGTCTTTCGAAGGGGATAAACACTTTCTTTCGAGAAAGACATTATTATAACCTAGAAAACAGTAACACGTAAAAGACTAAAAAAAAATTGGGGCTTTCCACTGGTGAAATTTGATGGAAGCCCCTTCAAAATTGACAATGAAGGCTAGAGTTTAGGAGAGAATATGGTTTTTCAATTTTCAGTGCTTACATTAACAAATGTAAACTTGCCATTTTATAATTTATAGGCAAAATTTTACGCAACAATTCATGTTACTCACTTGAGATCTGAGAAAACATCCCAACAGGGCAACATTGTCATTTTGCTAGGTTGTTGAGGGGTATGCTTGTCTTTTATTAAGTAAGTGTTACTTGACGATATCCAAGTAACTAGACATCCATTACTTTACTAACTAATGATAGTTGAGCAATAGTCCTAGTAAATGAAGGTAAATTTAGGTAATTTAGGGATGAGTTCATTAAAACGCCGATATAGACAGAGAGAAAAGGGTAAAAAGGAGGCTGGCAACTTTACGAAGGGTAAAAAGGACGCTCTAAGCTCGGCCGATAGATAGAGAGAGAGAAAAGGGTAAAAAGGACACTCTAAGCTCGGAATCCGACGTCTTAGTTCGTAAAATCTCCATCGACTTATTTAATCCTTCAGATTAATTCGTCGCTTCAGTTCGGTTACACAATTGGGTGTGACCCGAAGGGTTCATTCAAGATTAAGCTGTAATATTATATACATTAATATTAGTGATCGGAAGCGGCCTCCAGCTAGGCATTCTGATCACTTGACCTCACTGAATAATTAACTTTCCTAATTAATTCTGAACCCTCTATCGAATAATACACTTGTGCGAAGGACACCATTCCTTTCAATTTCCCACCTGTCCTTCCAGACAAGTGTGTTGTTTGTGTATAACCTGTTTCCTATGTCACATAATGTCTCTTCGTGAACTATAAGGTAAAATTCTTTGTCATCCTTATTATGTCCAGAAGTGTTTCTCGATTTTCGAGTTCGACTGTCAATAAGCAGATGATTTCTAAAATCCATCTGAGCACAACCATGCATTTTCACAGTCTCGCTATTCGAGAGGCCTTGTAAACAACAATGACATGTTCCCTACTGTTAATAGGAGGACATTACCAATCTTTCATTGTTGGCTTCCCTTAATAAAAGGCCCTAGCCGCCTGAGTGGTGCCTTTATAATCCCCTTGTACGACAGACATTTGACAACATCAAAACGGACTAGTACTCAGACAAGAGAGCTTACAATAGTCATGGTTGAGGAAAATGGTTCTGATAGCCATAATGAGTAATATACTTATGTTAAATCTCTTAAAGTGTTCTCATAGGTCGATCCGGTATAGTTCCAAACTAAAACCTGTGCAAATGATTTATGACAATCTTGTCCTTGTAGCACAAGAAACGGTGCTATAAATCATACTACACACTAATCTCACGTGGTCATTAATCGTCTAACTCTCAAATTACCTTGATTAGGGATAATTTCGATAAGATATTCAATGTTCACTTAATAGGTGTTTCTTTATCCAAGACATTATCTTGATACCTTATTTTGAATATTCTTAAATCAAATGGACTCACTATTTAATTCTAAACCATAATTAAATAGAAATGGAATAATCGTAATTTGCGAAAAATTAAATTACTCCATAAATGAATGGTTCAATATAGTGTTTTACATTAAAATCTCCAAAATTAATTAAAACACATAAATAGGGAAATCAAATCCAATCTCCAATATGCCTGATTCCCATTGCCTCAACGTGCTTGTTGTGTTTCACGTGAGGCAAAGATTTAGTGAATGGATCGGCTACATTGTCGTTCGTTTCAATCTTACAAATTCTGATTTCACCCTCGAACTTCCATTCCCTTATCATGTGAAATCGCCTCTGGACATGTTTGACTTTTTGATGTTCCCTTGGCTTCCTGGTTTGAGCAATAGCCCCAATTGATATCACAATAGAGATCTATTGGACCCTTGATTGAGGGTTTAACTTCTAGTTCACCAACGAACTCACGAATCCAAACTGCCTCCTTAACTGCTTCCGAAGCTGCCAAGTATTCGGCTTCAGTTGTAGAATCTGTAGTTGTGCTTTGCTTAACACTCTTCCAATTGAACGCTCTTCCACTTAGACAGAATATGTACCTTGATTGCGAACTTGAAGTCATCTCTGTTAGTCTGGAAGCTTGCGTCGGTGTAACCTTCAACAACCAAATCCTTACTCCCATCATAGACCAAAAATTTATCCTTGTTCCATTTCAAGTACTTTAGGATATGCTTGGTAGTAGTCCAATGCGCCTCTCCTAGGTCTGTTTGGTATCGGCTTGTAGCACTTAAGGCATACGATACATCTAGCCTAGTACATATCATGGCATACATGATCGATCCAATAAGCGAAGCATATGGAATCTGACTCATCCTCTCTCGCTCATCAGGTGTCTGTGGACACTATTTGTTGCTGAGAGTTATGCCATGTGACATGGGTAGGTGGCCTCTTTTGGCTTCTTCCATATTGAATCGTGCCAATACTTTATCGATACAAGTACTTTGGCTCAATCCAATCAGCTTCTTAGATTTGTCCCTATAGATCTTGATGCCTAATATGTACTGTGCCTCTCTCAAGTCCTTCATTGAAAAACACTTTCCAAGCCAAGCCTTTACAGACTCTAGCATTGGAATGTTGTTTCCAATGAGCAATATGTCATCGACATATAAGACAAGGAACGTGATGTCACTCCCACTGACCTTCTTGTAAACACAAGACTCATCTGGATTCTTGATAAAACCAAACTCACTAATGGCTTCAACGAATCGCAGATTCCAACTTCTGTTTGCATGCTTTAGTCCATACATGGACTTCTTAAGCTTGCACACCCTCCTAGTGTAACACTTCCAAATCTCCCTCTACGGAATATGTAGAAAATACGTATAAATACCGTAGAGATAGACTTGGGCGTATTACCGCCGCGTGATAATGCAAGGCTTATACTTTAAAAATACTTTTGCAGCGGAAAAATTCTTTATTCTTATTAATAAAACTTTAAATAAAACTTGTTCATAATTTGTGACACAAAAACGACTCCAACTTTTCCTAAGCTAGATGAAATTCCTGTGGACTCCCGTATGCATCAATCAACTTCCACCTGAAACATTCACCTGCTTACCATAAATGGTAAACAGGGCAAAGCCAAAACAAAAGCACGTATTATCAAATTATGCTAAGTAGATTATGTGTAAGATAAGTAAAACATAATTTAAATCATTTAAGTTTAATTCAAAGAATTCCAATGCCATACTCATGTAAGAGCTTTTCCAATTCAATGCTTTCAAGACTAGTTTAAAACTCAATCGATTACGTTCCAAAACCATTTCCTCACTAAATGTGCACACCCCCCAAGTGGTTTACTTTATGAACAAAGGCCAATCTTGAGGAAAGGCTAGGTCATGCAAAGTCCATAGCCTTCTCTAATCCATTCCCTAAGTGGGATTCATAACCATATCGATTGATTGCTTAAAAGCACCTTTAAAAAAAATCCGTTATACTTGGACATCAATAAACTTGTAAATCATTTTTAATCCAATCTTTTTAATAATTTTAATCGCAATTTAAAGCCCCTTTGATTAACCAAAATCATTAATTTCAAGCCATCATAAAACACAATTTCATATAGTAAAACATAATTTCATACGGCACATAATTTCATAAGAACTATGTTAAAACATAATTTCATAGTCAACTTTCGAAGGTATCAAACCACATAACGTACCTTAATTCCGAATATCAATCAACACTTCGCACTTTCAAAGTTTAATCACGAATACACCTTGCAATTAGCATAACCATACGGTTATCACAACATCTTTAGACATATACCCAAATCTAATGTGCATGGACTATAAAACTCTTTTAAAAATAATACTTTAATATAAAATTATAACTGTGAAATAGGTAATTATATTTTAGAAAACTAACCATGAAGAAAATAAAGGAATAGGATTAAAGGAAATTGAATTTGCGTTGGAAAGGATAGGCAGAACTTGCAGAGGTCATAACTCCTTTTATATAACTCCGAATTGGGTGATTCTTGAGCCTAACCTCAAGTATTTTTCAATACAAATAATTTTTTGTGAATAGAAAAATCCAAAAACTGACAGGAAGTTTCCGAAAATTGGCTCCAAAGATATATGGGCAGATTTTCTTTTAGAAAAGAGGAAAAGAAAAATAGGAAAAGTTTGAGGGAAAAGAAGAGTAAAAGAAAAGAAGGGAATTGAGTTTTTGGTGTGAAGAATATGAGAGGTATGAGGGGGTATTTATAGGTGTTTAGGTGATGAGTTTATAGCA